GTTAACTGCAAGCAGGATGGAGGTGCATTAATTAGAAAAAAGTTTAATTAATGCTAAATACAATAAATTACACAAAGAAATGTCTGAAATTAACTTCAACAGGAATGGATTTGGGAAAAAGAGGCTGAAGGATAACTTCAATAGGGGAAGGTTAGAGTGAAGTTGAAAGATACACGGCTTCATCAGAGGAAGCTTAATGACAGCAAGGCATAAAAATCAACCAGTTAGTATAATGAAAACCCCTTTTACTGTTGGGGATATCTGAAGTTTCCCAAGCTAAGAGCTGGCTCAACTAAGCCTTAGAAAGATGCACCATGCCTCTGAGACCCACCCTTGCCTACAGAAGCCTTGACCAGAATCTAGCCATATTTACACCTTTCTGGGTGCCTAACCCAGTAGATAGTAGACATAGAATGCTTCCAACCACATAGGGGTTTCTATAGGCCATTGCTCCTTGTGCCTCTCTGAGGAGGCCAGGTTCTGGCTCGTGGTCCCCGGTAGGCTAGAACGCCATCGAATTGACTGATACCACAGTCTAATACATACAAATCAATCTGGTAAGCTCCGGGGTGCCGGAGAGGTTCTCCTCAGAAAAGGTAGAGCCCAACTGCTGGCACCATATGCCAAGATCTACTGTAACCCATCCCCACCGCACGCAGAGGCTACCAGGCGTCCACCAGGGCAGGAGTGAAGTCCTGCAATAACATGCTCAAGCATGTAAACAAGATATGGATGGGGAAAATTAGCCACCTGGACTGTCACGCAGACTGGCAGGTGTGACAGGCATGTGGGAATCCTCTCATCTTAACAAAATGCCAACACTCGCAAAAAAGGACGATTAGGCTTGATCATAGTAAGACAACACACCCTGAACCCCTAAGAACAAGTATATCTAAGGTTAATGGGAATGCATTCCGACTATAAAGGAAGGGAACTTTAGCCCACAGTAGAAGCAAAACAAAGGTAGGGCACACACTCTGTGGGTGACATAAAACACAATTGTGAAGAGGAAGGGAAACAATAACAAAGCAATGAATGACCCCCAGCAAAACTAATGCTCTAGGTATAACCAATACCATTTAGCTTTAACTTGAAACAGAGAATGGGCACACAATGAGGTGTGGCCAATGGGGAATGGGCTGGGGTGAACACAACATGTCAAAGGTTGTGCACCCTTGAGGGTGTGAACAAGCGAGTGAAGGAGCAAGAAAATTGAAACCTTGGAGGGCCTGGGTTGCCACAATGACATAGTTAGTACCCATAGTTAGGGTGCATACACCTCAACAATGATTGTCTTGTTACCCGAGGATACCTAATTTGCTTTTAAATTGAGGCTTTTTTAGTTGTTCTAATACTTTTGTGGTGAATTTTTTTTTTTAGGATTTGCATTGAATTGTGATTTCCCAAACTTCCCTTGCCTCGGAGGCAGGCAGATTATGGCCCCAACTCCCAACAGACATGATTTTGTCAAAATTTATAATCCCCATCCCTCCTTTTTTTTTTAGTACTGTAATTCTTACTATGTCTTTTAAAAACAATCATATCCTCTTATTTCACTTTTTGCTGATAACTTTTTTGGCCCCTACCATTGTTAATTGTTTTTTTTTTGTAATAGTGCTACTAAAAAATCTGCCAGCTGTAAAGAATTGTAATCTTAGTCCACGGCACGCAGTGATCACTCCAGTTTGGTTTAAGTTAACCAAACTCCTTTTTAAAACACCTCAAAATCTGAATTTCTAGATTAGGCCATTTTCACTTTGGTTAATTTCAGGTGTGGAGATAAGAGGTAACTGAAGTACATTGAAGTACATTTATATACACTTGAAAGTCCCACCTTGTACATTGTGGTTAATGGAACAATTGGTTATGGCAATGTAGAAAAACCAGCATTGAATGTAATGAAATGCCATTTTCTGGGTGAGTCCTGGAAGTTCCCCGGAGCTAAATGGGCTGATATGTATTTATTAGACCATGGCATCAGTCAATTCGATGGAGTTCTAGCCTACCGGGGACCACGAGCCAGAGCCTGACCCACTCAGAGAGGCACAAGGAGCAATGGCCTATAGAAACCCCCATGTGGTTGGAAGCATTCTATGTGTCCCATCTACTGGGTTAGGCACCCAGAAAGGTAGGCATCCCAAAATAAAGTAGTTGGTTAAAAATTGCTGCCAAAAGCCGAACTTGCAAACAGAGCTCCCCAAACCGAAAAGAAGCAAACAAGCATGACGTCACCATCGGCGCTGCGCTACTGTCTGTGCAGCTACCCCGTCCTCGGGAGGGTGAAAGGAGAGCCCCAGACCCCCCCCCACCAGCTATCTAACCCCAGTTCCGAGGCTGAATGTCAAAAACATGAAAGAAAAAACACCGACCAGAGGGAGGGAGGGAGGGAGGGTTGCCGGGGAGCCTCCGGGACTCGCTCAGAAAATGGCATTTAATTACATTCAATGCTGATTTTCTGTGGAAAGCCCCTCCGGCTCCCAGGAACTACCTAACCAAAGACAAGAAAAAGAGGGACTTACCCAGGAGGCGGTTGCCACTCCCTCCTCAATACGAAGTCAAGACAACTGGCTGCAACCTGCAACCCAAGGCTACACAAGCCCGAACAGAGACAGGAACAGTAACAAGGTACTGTACGGTGCAGCCAGGACCCTGTTCGACCGCCAAAAACTCCACACCCGAATGAAAACCCAGGACATGTTACCAAAACCAGCAGCCAAAGCGGCGAACTTACGAACAACTAAATGGGAGTTCCTTCAGTTCACAAAGAACCCGAACCCGGCAAGCTGGGAAAGAACCAAATCCCTGGCGAGCAGACACGTGGACTGGCTGGAGGCCCAAACTAGCCAGTCGTTGAAGTAGGCCAGAACCCGAACCCTAGCAGAGGCAAACGGGATACCACGACCTGGGGTAAGGTATATGAAAACGTGAGGAGCCAGATTCAAGCCGAATGGAAGGCAATGAATGCGCTAAGCATGCCGTCTCATGACAAAACCAAGCTGCTCCCAGAACCCAGGATAAGTTGGGACGTGCCAATATGTGTCCCGGAGGTCCAGAGACACCATCCAAGCATCCGGCTTCTTTTGGAGCTGGAAGCTTGGATCTTTTGGAGCTGCATATGAAGCTGTACCTGGCCGATATCTTGAGGAAGAACAGGGGCGAACAAGCACGCATTGAGGCACTCAAACTTGCACCCAGGTAAACCTGCACTACCATAGTAGTACTTACTTACTTACAGGGCACCCAAGGAAGGAGACCCTAGGTGCATGCAGCCCCAGTACTTCTTGAATAACACCTGGCTCACACATCACCACACCACAACACAACACCACAAGGTACAGCAGTGTACAAGGATTGAAGCCAGAGTCGAACGACCGCCACTCAACACATCAGCCTCAGCATCAGTGGGGGGTCTGGGGCTCCCCCTTCCCCTTCCCGGGAAGGGGGAATCTGCACAAACAGCGGTGTGGCGCCGATGGTGACATAATGCTTGTTTGCTTGTTTTCTGTTTGGGGATTTCTGCTTGTTAGTTCAACTTTCGGTCGCAATTTTTAACCAGTTGTAGTTTGTTTTGGGACGCCTACCTTTCTGGGTGCCTAACCTGGTACATGGCAGACATAGAATGCTTCCAACCACATGGGAGTTTCTATAAGCCATTGCTCCTCATGCCTCTCTGAGGGGGCCAGGTTCTGGCTCGTGGTGACCGGTAGGCTAGAACTCCATCAAATTGACTGATGCCATGGTCTAATACACACATATCAGCCCGGTAAGCTCCGGGAAGTAAGTGGGGCTCTCCACAGAAAACATCAAGAACTGGCACAAAAAGTATAGATACTAGAAGCATCAAAGGAGTTCCAGCAAAAATCACTCACAGATAAGAGATAATGATCAAAAGAACATGGGACAAAATGATTAAACAAAAATGAGACATCAGATGTAAAGGAAAATAAGAAGTAGCAATTAATAGAAAAATAAAAATAATGATTAGCAAGCAGGTAGCTGTAATGAAAATATAATGTAGGGATATATGAAAGACACTTGGAAGGAGAATAAAAATAGAAGAGCAGAAAAAAATATTAGAGGGAAAATTGAATGAAAAGTTACAGAAATTTAAAAGGAAAAAATGAATATAAATACTGTATAATTAATGTGGAGCAGCAAAGAAATGAGATAAAATATAAGAATGGAAACCAAAATGAAACGAAGAGTCATCAATAAGGGATGAGTCATCATTAGTGGAGAGATGGCTTACATAACATGAAAAGAGACAGCAAAGAAACGTGGTTGGAGACTCAAAAGACCCATTGGAAGATAAGCTGCTGCTTTCAGGCAAGTTTTGTTGCTAGGAACTAACTTTTCCCAGCTTCAGCGGGGGGATGGACTTTAACATGAGGCTGCTGGAACTGCTGGTACTGTTGTTGTTGTTGTTGTTGTTGTAGTTGTTGTTGTTGTTGCTGTTGTAATTGTTGTTGCTGTTGTTGTTGTTGTTGCTGTTGTAATTGTTTTTGTTGCTGCTGTTGTTGTTGCTGTTGTTGTTGTTGCTGTTGCTGCTGTAGTAATTTTTGTTGATAATGTTGCTGTATTTGTTGTTTTTGTTGTTGTAATAACATGTATTGCTGATTGTGTTTGGCAGTTGATTTCATGGCTCCGGCTCGTTCTGCAAGTGAAGCAGTAGAGCATTTACTACATTAGTTACATATTCAGAAGTGTTATCAGGAGAGCAGAGGGGTATCCACTGCAGGATTCTGGGAATTTCCAGGAACCAAGATACCTTTCGCTTCAATAAGAGGGCTCGATAGTAAGTCACAAACCTAAACTTTACCTCCAGAAAAAAGGTTTTCTCCTCTGTGGTAAAGTTATTATAGGCATTTGCCCATTGAAGGTTATCTCTAGTAAATAACTCAGTGCTTAATGTTAATGTTAATAGAGCAACCTACACCACGGGTTTAGTCCTTGTTAGTTCAAGCATCATTCATATACTTTCCATTATACTGTATCTTTACCTAAGCTGTCAGATTTTTTTACTCCAAGATCCGAGACAGGAGTTGAAGTTGCATCACATGCAACATTTGGCGACGTGCGACACGCTTGATATTTCTTGTGAATGCGATTTATCTCCAATAATAGCTTCACACGTCGTCTTTGATCAAAGACTTTGGAAGCTGAGTCTCTAGGAGCTGCCACAACTGGATGAGGTGGGCCACCTGAAGATGGCCTTGATCCCGAGTCTTCAATGATGGACTCTGTATAGGTACTAGGGTCAATGTAGGCCAGATAGATCCCTCATCTATATCATTTAATATAAAATGATAATTTAAATGATGCAGCAAAAACAAAGAATATACAGTCAGTTCCCAGTTATCTCCCTAACATTGAGTAATAAAGGCATAACAGCTTCATATATGACATTGGCTATATCGTAATTTATCAATTCCAACACTTAAATAATTCAAAAAAATTGTAAAGAACACTTTATTATTTGTACCTTTAATAACATTAAATTTAATTGAAGATTAGATAGCAGATGTTGTATCAAAATTAAAAAATTGTGTTATCAATATTTCCATTAACATGGTTTCAATATCACAAACAAATACCGGTATACATTAAGCAAGCTATCTCTCTCCTTTTGAATAAAGTAATAAATTAAGACTGTCGGTACAAATTCATTTGAAAATATAATAAGGCCCAAATAATAATTTCATAAGAAAACATCGAGGCTGTAGGATAGGATCGAACTCATTCTCCAGTGGGCATTTTTGATTCCTTTAACATTGGTCTGTCATCGTCCACTGATGACGGTTTATATTAAAACCACCAAAAAGGCTCACTTGGCCCTGGATTCCCAAGGTAAACGCAACCAACTGAATCCCGGGATAGGAGTTCACTCCTATCACATGGCAACAATATTTTCTCACAGATCCATCATGTTCTTGTGACTTCATTGTACAGTTTCATTAATGTCAGGTTGATATCATCACTGTCTAGATGTCTAGTTCATCTTAAGTCTTTTGCTACTACAGCATTTAGTAAGGCAACACAACCTGCCCAAAAATGGAGTTGCTATATTTCTACTATTCAATAAGGAAACTACACACAGCACAATCTTCCGTAATTTCCATCAATTTCTTCCTTTGAGTATTGATCCTTCACATATATTACTTCTCATTCAACCTTGCTTTCACTCATCTTTTTTTTAATATATAAATGATCTCTGTATGGCATTTCTTTTTCATTATCATTCTTGGGCAGCCAATTTATGTGCCTCTCTCAACAACCACTCTAAAACACATTTATATTTGTAATATATATACTCAATTTGATTTCTATTTTCTCACTCATTTTCTTATTAATATCCTCACCTATTTTCATTTTGGTGTCTTCATCCATTTTCTATTTTATGTCCTCCCCATTTTCTTTTTGTTTTCTTCATCCATTTTATTTGCTACATCATCACACATTTCATTTTTATGTCCTTTGTCATTGCTGCAGGTTTCTCTTCCCTTTCACAATGGGATGGCATATTCAGACTATTTTCTATGTACAGTACTGTATTATTTTATATTATATATCACAAGAGTTCTTACATTCTTGTAAAGCCACTAGTATGCATAGCATTTAGGGCAGGTCCTTAATTCAAAATTTTCCCCAGAATACGACCTGCCATATCGTTTAACAACCAGGTACCCATTCACTGCTGGGTAAACAGAGGCTATAGTTAAGAATACCGGTATACATGCCAGTCAATCCTTCTCGGCCCGGATACGAACCCAGGCCAAAGCGCTTGCCAAGCGCCAGGCGAGTGCTTTATTACTGTGTCACAGGGACTGCTGAATTGATTGAAACAACAGAGATTGTTGTTGAGCATGAGTGTAATTATATGCATAAACACGTTCAAAAGCAATATTTTAACATTTTCCTGATTATTTCTAAAGCTTCAGAATAAGCAACAAATAAATAACACATGTTTTACATTGCTAGTCACAGAAATGTGTGAAGAGACTGAGCCTTGTCTTTCCATAATGTACATACAGTACACAGGCAGCAAAATAAATGCTGAAAATCATCAAAATACATAAAAATATATTCATGAAGAAACTAGGTGATTATTAGCAAATCAACAATGAAGAATAGTACTGTAATTAGTTTGAGAATATGTCCAAGTAATCTTCTAAATTATATTTTTATATGATTGCAACCTTTAAAATAGCATATTTTCACTTGAAACATAGACCAGTACTGTAGTTTATTATGTCCACTCAAATTCTAATACCGTAGCCTATTTCAATTCCTTACATTTCTCGTATGTTTTGGCTCAAATCCAAATAGAATTTTTTTTTATTTAAGATACCCGAAACGCTATGCGTGCTAGTGACTTTACAAGAATGTAAAATCAACATCATTTCAATGTACTCTCTTAACCCCCATTGTACCTTCTTGTATATAAATAAATAAATAAATAAATAAATATTAAAAAAAAAAAAAAATTCCTTCCAAGTGGATATCCAGACGTCTCACTTAATTGTCTCTCCAACTGAGTCATCTTGGGTGTGTGTGTGCATCCTAGTAGGGAAACTCTCACATGGTGATGCATCGCAAGATGTTCGTCAGTTTACAGTCCAACTGACCTTCACACTATTTCTTCTAAAACTATAACCACGAGAGTTGACACCTTTCATACCCGCAAAACCAAGAGTACTTAAAGCAACACCTTTCACTACTCCGGTGTTATCAGTTATTATGATTTACCTTCTAAGAAACCCACACAAAATACACATGTTAGTTACATATTACTAACAGAAACCAAAAAAAGTATGGCAAACAGCAATTTTAATTGCTAACTGATGTGAGTTACTATACATATTTAATTTTAGTCTTTTAATGTATTAATGATTTATTACACTAGTTACAATTACTTAAATAAACAACTACTATCATTGTTACTAAATCTTTTATATAATGGGAAAATGTACATTCATAAAGCATACACAGTACATGCCATGAATTCAACTTAAACCACTGATGATGTATTACATGTATACAGTATTGTAAAGAGTGCTAAACTTCACATAAAGACACACGTACCTGTTTCTCACAGAATCATATCCACAGAAGTGAAGATGACACTCTTTCACATACAGTATTTCTAGAGGGGGGGGGGCCGAACAGTGGCTCTCTGTTACTAGATGCACTGAGACAGCTCCACACATGTAGGTCATATCAGCCCTAGGAGTCCTTAATAGCCTACCAGAGATCAGAGGCCAAAATCTGGCCCCCAAACAAAGGCACACAGGGTGCATGGGAATCCTGATCACTCTCACTGAAGAAACAAACCCCTAGCAAGGAAGTGAAGCAAAACAGACAACCTGAGTGTTGGTGTTGGAGAGGCACAGTTTCATAAGTTGTCTCTTTTATTTTCTCACCCCAGTCCTACACATTCACCGCCTGAGCCAACTCCGTCTCTCAATAGGGTGTTGGTTTATCTTTTGTTTTTTCAGTTCGTTTCAAAGTGCTATATGGTCATAATTGCTTGACACTTTCTCCTGATAATTCCCTTCCCTTTTCAGTTCTTTGTCACCTCTTTGGTCCATGATTACCTTTTCAAAGGTTTGTGTTTGTTGGCCCTCTCTTCTCGTTGAAGAATTGGGACGCTTCAAGATCTCCTCCAGAAGCAGTGTTTTTGTTTTTTCAGCCCTTGTGGACAGTTTCTTTAACTACAGCCTTCACCTCATTTTCTGGCAAAGAATGAGACAGTTGGCTTTCAAAGGGGTTCTTTTGTTTGTCTTGTCTGGTTGTGACTGTTCGTCACTACTTGTGCACAACCCAGGCTGCTTTGCGGAGGAGGGGAATGTTAATCTAGTGTCCTTGGTCCTCTGTTACAAGGTTTATTTGCATCAGGTTGTCCATGGTATCATCAAATCTAGCTAGCCTGCATCTACCCTCAGACCCATGATGTTCATAAATTTGCAGCTTTGACTGCTGTACAAAGAATGTCTAAAATGTTTTGGGCTGATATCGGGACTCAGAGGTTCTGGATGCATATTAAGGTCATATTGGCTCACTACCCAGTCACTGGTGTTCCTCGTCTCTGACGAGCTTGTGTTGCCCTGGGTAAGGTTTCCCATCCTGGCATTTTCCCTTGGGGGTTTGTTCTATGCTCTCCCTTTTCTCGGTGAGTCCGGTTTTTCTCATCTTTTCACGGAGGTTAGCTAAAGGGAGCCACTGTTCAGTCCCTCCAGAAAACCTGAATTGAGAATGTAATGAAATGTATCTTTGTGGTGGCCTCAATGGCTCCCTGAACCCTCCCTCACTACCAGATGCATTGGTATGTCTTTCGTAAGGTTTCAGACTGAGGATATTGACATGGGAACCCAGCAGCTCCCATATGATACTGTCACCTGGCAGTGGCCACCTGTTACTAGGGGGGAAGGGAGTATACCCTAATTACTGGGTGGATCGTTTACCAAGTCATTTGCTGCATGATTTGCTTACTTTCTGTGAACCTTACAATTGTCCTTTTTTTTCCTTCACTTTCTTTCTGAGAGTTTGTTTCTTCAGTGAGGATGATGATGAATGCCCTGCTCCATGCACCACTGTAAGGAGGGCAAGGTTTTGGCCTCTGGTGTCCTGTAGGCTACTAAGGATTCCAAGGTCTGATGTGACAAGTGTGAAGCTATGTCAAGTGTGGCTATTAACCACGAAAGCTTCCCCAGACAGAAGCATTTGATTACATTCAATTCTGTTTAATTCTTTCACTTGCACTGACCACATGATTGGTAACAAGGTGAAGGAGATAAGGAAAGAATAGAATATTGGGTCAAGACCAATACTGGGTCACTAGGGCTTGTCTTCTTTCATCCCAACGATGGGTTGTGAAGGAAAGGCAATGGGTAGGGAAGGGCTGAAATATATTTGAGCAGGGATGGAGTGCAGAAAATGAGAAGTTAAAATTAAGTTCTTTGGATAAAACCCCACACTTGCATACAAATCCACAAAGGCGGTGATGAGGGTTCGAACCTACGTCTGAGATGATCCCAGAGGCGTCTTAGTCGACTGCGCCACAACATGGTTGTGGACATCACGGATCTTGTGGATTTGTTCATTTGATATATCACGCTATTGTGATTTCTGTGTGTATCCACACTTGTGTATTTGTGATATTTATGTAAGGAATTATCACACTCTCCTGAGTGCTTTGTCAAGGTCTGAGTGTGTTGCTAGGACGAGACTTACAGCTCAACGTCTAATCAACTGATTAAACGTTGAGATGTAAGTCTCGTCCTAGCCACACGCTCAGACCTTGACAAAACACTAATACACAAGTGTGGGTTTTATCCTATGTTATTATGTCCGTGAGAAGACATTACCATTACTAAATTAAGTTCTTTCTTAAACCATATTCACACAACTGTACCAGCTGGAGTTTTGTCATTTCTAGTTATCTCTACAATATCCTTTTATAGGATGTTATCTATTCCATTCCTCATCTTTCCTATTTTCCTTACATGCAGTTTGTCTATTCCTGCTTTCTTCCTTCTTCTCTCTCACTTGTCAATGCAAGCTAAGGTAACCTCCAGTGCTGGGGATTAATGACTTGCTTCAGTTATATGATACCAAACCAGTATAAAGAATGAGGTGAATAATTTAAATTTGCTTGCATGAGTTCTGTAAAACGTTAGGATTACTTAAATGGGTGGGATAGATTTTTAATGGGCAACCATCCTTTCCAGGAAGGTATTTTCAAAGGAAATAATTCAGGCATCAAAAAGAAAGCTGTCCAGTATTTACCTGTATTTACCTGTTGGCCACCGTCTCTAGTGGCCTCGCTGGGGACAGGAAGCCCGGGGCTTGTGTAGGGTCCCCCCATTTTGTCTGATGAGTTTTATACACATTACTAAACACTACTGGGTGTAAAAATTAATAATATGCAAATAATACAGAAAATAAACTGATTGCTGTGCCTTCTATCAATATATTGAAGTAATTGAACTAAATTCTATAATACCACCTTAGTATATTATTTAAAAAAACAAAACAGTCAAAGAAATTTTCAAAAATTCTATGCTGCCAACATTTTTTTTTTAAGCATTCTTCATTGATTATCTTTTTACAGATCAAATTTCCCTTACTCTAAAGCTGTCTATTCATAGATCTTCCCATAAACAGTACAAGATCATGATGTAATGCTTTAAAAAATACAACCCTAGAATAGGGAAATTCCCTTAAAAGAATTAAACAAATAAATGTGTGGCAATGCAGGACCACACAGCACAGACACAGTACTAATACATATTACATAAACTCTATAATTATTATGTACTTAAACAGTAATGACAAAAAACATTCTAAATATGAAAGATATTCATCATGTGTGAATGAGTCTGTACAATGTTGCAATTCTCTAAAAATAAAACATTTATATTAAACAGAATATATATCATATTCTTAACCAAATTAAACAAAATGAATCCTTCTAAACAATGAATAGGGTCTTAATTTCCCTGAACACTTATTGGCTGACATTCCAGACATGCGGGTAGGACATGCTGAACGAAAAGTAACACCCAACTGGAAAAGTACTGCACATGTAATTTAACCCCCCAGCAAACACCTGCTGTGAGGTAAGAAAGGGCCAGTTTGTCTTATAATCAGAATTTACCTGTGGACCCATCATCTTTAGTGGCCTTGATGGGACCAGCAGCTTGTCAAAGATCCCTCATGCATTATTTGAGACCTTATTTGAGGTGAACACCATTACAGGGATTAAACTGCTGAAGGTGCATTGAATTTTATTGTACCCAATATTAATTGCCATAAGTAAAAATTAATAAACATATCAATAGCAGTTTAGCTGTAAATAGCTGGATCTGGAAGCCCTTCAAGTCAAATTAAGATTTTCTTGTTTTGAATCACCACCACCATCACCCAATTTCCCAATTTGATTAAGATGAACAGTGAAGGAAAAGAACGGGAAAAAATGGCTAAAAAATAGCACCCATTTCTACAGTAAGAGGATGAGTTTAAGTGACTTAACCTTCTCATTGAGAACATTAGATCATTATGAAACTTATCTTAAGATATGAATGCTGTACAATATGTCTGTCTCTCTCTTTAATGTATATCCCATAGCACCCCCTCAAAAACCTATTGACAATTCTAAAGGCAGCCATACCCTAAGACATATCTGGGGAAGACTCTACAGGCCAACATACCCTCAAAAAGAGTCTAGGTAAGGTCTCTGGGATACTCCCCGACGCAGGTTCGAGTCCTCGTCACGGCCCTTGTGGATTTGTTCAGTCTAGGTAAGATTTTCAACACAACCATCCTTATAAAAATGTCATGTGAATGTAGTTGTACTATCTCTTGAGAATTACCCAAAATAACCTTAGATTAACCAAAACATATAAGAACAAAGGTAAATAAGAAATTTAACAAATTTTCTTATTGAAATAACCGTATTTTTAATGAATGTGGAACATAAATGAACATATTTCACTTGGAAATAAACTTGTTTTTTAATTAAATAAAATGAAAATAGTGGCGGGTGATACCAAGGAAGTAAATAAAGCACTCACATTGTTTACTGCCTTTGGCACCACCCTGCCACCTATTTGTTGTGCACTATCATTATAAAATAAGCTTATTTCTAACAAAAAATTATGCTTATTTATGTTTTATATTTATTACCATTATTATTGGAAGAAAATATGTTATATTCCTTCTTTATTTAACTACTGTACTTCCAAAATATTTTAGGTAGTTTTGGGTAATTCTACGAATTCAATTCCCTGCACTATGTTTGGGAATAATGACGCAAGTGACCATCCCCTCACAATATATGCAGATTCTACTGGCAACTATTCCCTCAAAAATATTTGCTGAATTTTTAGCAGGTGACCATCCCCTAAATATGCAGAGATTCTATAGGTGGTATTGTACTTGAAAATACCTGGAAATTTTCTACAGGTGTCTGCTGAGGAAGATTCTATAAACAACCATCCCTTCAAAAATACCAAGACAAAACTCTAAAGGCAGCCATCTACTAAAAATTGCTTGGGAAAGATTCTGCTGGTGGTCATCCGTACAAAAATGAGACACTCTCAATAGGGACCATGGAGTCAGATATTGACAGATACTATACTATTCATATGGTCTATTTCACACAGAGCTCCTCTTCCTTCACCACACTACATACCACTTCTAGGTATTTTTTTAATTTATAAAAACTATTGCATTGTACTTGTGAACATTTCCGGATGCAGTTTGAACTGTAGCAGTAACCTGGCTTTTAGAGCTTTGAGAGGTAGTGTTTCACAGGTTTATTACCCTTTGGGAGAAAAAGTATCTCCTATACTCTCTTGCATTGTGGCTTTGTAACCCAGAAAATGTTGAATGGGTGTGTAATGAATTTATGTAATCCAAGATGTGCAATGACAGAGGTCTTACGCACAAAGAAACCACATGACTGTGATGTATCAATGAGCGTGCCTGGGGGGGTACCCAGTGCGTAGCTTTAAATCCTCCTCATGTTTCCAACTGATTATCTCAGAAGTCTTAATTTCACAATATACAAATGAGAAGAATCAGCTTCATATGCTGATGACATAAACCAGTATGCACATTTGTACAAAGATTCCAATAGCTGCAGCTGGGTTTCTGTCATGAAACATTCTTTTCTTATGGATATAAATTGCTAGTTAAGCATAGCCAAGAACAAAGACTTGATAAGTTCAACAAAAACATACATAAAAACAGAACACGTTAAAAGACTCTAATATAGACCGCCTCTTTAAAAAGTTGAAAATGACTCGTACAAGATCATCCACCCACTATTAAGGACAGTATGAGACACTTCTTCATTGACAGGGTAATAAACCAATGGAATTATTTCCTATTCTTGGGGGAAAGAAGCCTTTACAGTACTTAGGCTTACTGATGTCCCCCAGGATCAATTACTGACCTTCCAGGATGTAACCTACAATGGTTGCCAAACCCCTGGGTACCTATTACTGCTTGGAGAAGAGGTATCAGGTGAAAAGATATGTACCCAATATATTTCTGTCCTACCTGGGGATCAAACCCGATATCCTCCAATGTGAGTCGAGGATGCAGACCTCTGTGCTACAGGACCACACAGGTAAAGGCAAAGGCTGTGCTACAGTTATAGCTACATCTTGAAAACTACGTATACAAATCCTAAAGACTGGGGAGACCTTCCACAAGCCACTGGCTTTTTGTCCCAACTACTTAAACCTCTAGAGACAGTGGTAATATATTAAAGTAAATCTTTCTAACAAAATTTTCTTCACTCTTTTCTATCTTACTAACATTCTTATCAATGTTCCATCACTCTTGTCTATGCTTGTGTATCTTACCAACAATGGTCTACCTTACACTTTTCTTCATATTCCTAAGACTCTTGTCTTCATTCTTCTCTCATTTTTAACATTTGTCTTCCTAACAAGTCTACTCGTACCACCAGATTATGCATTACAAGTCGCCCCAAATTCCATTTGCTCCTTCCAGCAAGACATGCTTTATTGGTCTTCCAGTTTAAGTTAGGTTGGGTTACACTGGGTTTGGTTTGTTTTGGGTTGGTTCAAGGTTAGGTTAGGTTACATAGTACTATATTTGGGTATGATAATTTGGTTTAATGATTTATTTAGGAGCAAATTTGAAATGAGGTAGCTCATCATATAACCATCAGCAAAGCTCTCCATTAGTGAACAAATACAACCGTAACAAAAATTCTTAAGTTAAAAATTTCTTAAGTCATCATTTACACACAATTCCCAAAGAGGTATCAGAATTTAACAAACAGCCACTGAAGGTCCAGTAATAGTCATATTGGATTAAGCAACAATGATTTCCATAGCTACTATTGTATTAAACACAAGCAAAACACCGTTGTCAATAACGACTACTCTATACTTTCTGTTTCGCTACATCATTGTCATCATTTTGTGCTCTTTTCAACAATTAATTATCACCATCATTGTTATTCTACTGTCCACTGTCATGGGGTGGGAGGAGGCAATAGCACATATATTGAAAGGGAGTAGTACCATATAGGAACAGAAATCTTAAGTTATTCAAAATTTACACTCTTCCACTCAATATATCTTACACACTACATAGTATCTTGGGGAACCAACACCACCACACTCAAGCAAATCTTCCACAGCAGTATGTTACTACTTTATGATGCTAGATGTGATGCTTCTTAAGAGTTGTGACTAATTAATTAATTAAAAATAAAGTGTATGTAGAGGATAAAATCCAAAAATTAGGAATTGTTAACAGAAACATGAAGGCAAAAAGAGGAAATGTGCAAAGCTCAAATGAACAGCTTCAAACCCAGCTCTAACAAAGTGAGGTTTTTACGATATTACACACTACAGAATTTGGAGCATAGCTCGGAGCATATAGATGTGCTTAAAGACATTATACACAAATTTCTTATGAATTTAGACAACAACAAACCAATTGGGACATGTGGGGCATAACAATGCACATCACAACTATCATTTCAACACCACCACCTTGCAGCAGATTGATCCTAACCTAGGAGTTAGGATCCACCAATCATTGAAAGTGTGTCCTTTACTGCAGTTCCCTCCAGTTCCCTTTTGTTAACAACAAAAGTAAAGAGCTGCAGTAAAGATAAAAATAAGACAACCAAACCTTAGGAATAGTCAAACAAACCTTTGACTTCAAAGAAAAAAAAGGAACTTATACTACTCTGGACAATTTCATAATTGCCATTAAAAAACATGACAAGAAAAGCTTAAAATGTTGTTTATAAAATACTGTACGTAAGACCTGTATTAAAATATACAGTACCAGGAATTTGAATGATGTTCACATATTAAAAATAAATAAAAATAGAAAAGGTGTAAATACACGAAGCTAAATGGTTTCTGAACTTAAAAGACGAGCTATGTATTCGAAAAGTCTTCAGACAAAAGAAATGAAGTGATATGATCACGATATTAAAAATTGTAATAGGAACAATAAAATTGATAAATAGGAAATATTGAAATCCATAACATTGAGAACAAGTAATCACGATTTCAAATTAAGCAAAGATACCAAATTCTCTTCAAAGATATAAATTCTCTTCTCCAAATAGAGTAGTAGATGGATGGAACAGGTTAAATAAGTGGATACTGTATGCCAAAACCATTAGGAACTTCAAAATGTCATGTGATAAAAAATTTGGAAAGACAGAGCACCATAAGTGTTTCTTTCAGCTTGTAACTACACTTGAGTAATTACACACACACACACAAAAATACAAACATTCACAAACATTCTCAATACCAACTTTAAACACATTTATTAACAGTAATTTTATCCAAATGGTCACGCTGCCTCCTTTAGGTCTTTATCCATATTCATAACACATTAATTACTAGGTCAATTTTATTTCAGAACCATGTTATTGTTATTTTCAATTCGCCACCGGAGCAGATTACCCATTTAACTAACCATATTTGAAGCACCGCACTCTGCCAACATAGTCTAATACGATAACCAAGAACTGACTGTAACACGAAATGGTTATCTTAGCTTATTAATACAACGAACTGAGCATCTTTCTATCTGGTTCTTGCATATACGAAGTTTAGAAATAATTGCGTCTTTAATATTTGAATGAATTGTTCATCAATATGAAATCTTGAATTTCAGTTTTCTCATAACATTGTCTTAATATTATACGGTAAAACTCATTTCACACGCCATCCTCATCAAGAGGATGAGTATTTTATTTTGTACACATATCTATCACTTTTTAATGCTGAATAATCTGCTCTAGTAGCAAGTAACTGAAAAAAGATATGACAATGTTTTTGCCAACATTAAATATAAGGAATATTAGTCACAACCATGCAACACCTTCATAGAAGCATGTTTACGACTGTAATGTTGACACAAATTACTTGCAGCTTGTCATGTAAGACTGGCCATTGAGTCTATGAGGACGGGACGACTGGAGTGACAGACATGTGACACTGGCATACAACACCAGCCAGACATGGCCAGATACAAGCTAAGAGAACCAAGTCCACAAGTGGGGTGGCCTTATCAACTCTCAAATACAACTTTAAGCTGATAATTTAGGTCCACATGCTTAGAGGTGCACAAAACAAAAAATGTGCCAAAAAAGGGGGAGGGGGTCATTTACAAAAAGCGCAAAAAAGTGCAAAAAATCCTGTAAAAGGTAAAAATAATCACTTAAAAATACACTACAAAAATTCAAAACTTCATATTGTATGTTAACAATTTTGAAAAACACTACTTATCGAACATAATATATTTTTCATCTTAAATATAATCTGACTGATCAGATCACGCCTCCAGTTAGGTGGAATTGGTGATATAATTCCAAAAAATAAAATAAAATAGCATTCCTTCAGTGATACAACAACTGTTGTAATATTTTAAAATGTACATGTACTGTACAGTAGATATATAAAATTATGTTGTATTAAGATTTTATATGCCCAAGGAGCTAAACTAGCAAGATTTTCAAGCTTTAAATGAAATAAAGCCCAATTAAATGCATTCTTCAAAAATGTTGAAATATAAACCTCTATGCAAAACAATATCTGAAAAGTTTGGAATTATTATTGATACTCGATAAAACCGAAAGATTAGCATGATGGGGTGGGAAGGGAAGTAGCAATTAATATTTATCTAAATTGGAAACAAATAATATATGCACCTCTTCATTGAGTAACTTCTATTTAAATATTTGCTTTAGAATAGCCTCTCAAAACAACTGTATTACTACTCTACTGGTGTTTAATAATACTTCAAATCATTACCACAAACATATAATAAATACTGGCTATAGCAGAGGGTAGTCACATCGGTCAGTTAGCATATATTTTAGTATTTACAGTGCTGCCGCAGGGCAATCTACAGATCTCATAAGAAGCGGCAGAATAGTAATTCACACCCACAATGCCAGTGACAAGATCTGTGCACATCAAGACAAAATTCTACAAAATACAAATACATAACCATGATCTCATAGTGAAGAAACATTGCAATTACCACAACACACTGACTCAATTTGGATGAACTCCATTTCAATAATCTCAATATGATATAGAATTTGGGTCGGGAAAGCAGAGCTTGATGAGCAAAAGCTTACTAAAACTCCAATGCATACTATCTCTAGTAGACTATCAACTTTGTCATTGATAATATGGATTCTTCTCTTGTAAAAACACTATAGTGTATCAGTAACCAATTTATAGATGGAATATTTTTATTTTCTATTTTCATGCCAGTGAAACTATGGCTTTAGATCAAAGTTTATTAACAATTAATGCTTTCTTACCATTGCCCATACCAATGTACAATACTCTACTGCACGTACTGTGTATTGATATTGTATAATCAAAATATTATGCCCCTGACAAATTTATGTAACATTTTGTCTCAAAATTTCACATTCATAGAAGATGAATTGTCTAAGGAGGAATTCTCTCTCTCTTGCATAAAAATCCTGCAATCTGTTTTTGAAGTCTTATAAATTTCCACTACAAGTTAAAATACAGAATTGCTCCCCATATTTGACTAAAGATAACTATTGTATTGAAATGTATATTGAAGAACTGAATATACATATGAAGTATTTTGAAATACTTTATCAAACATACCTTTAATCTTCACAAAACATAAAAACTATAATTAAGCTATTTTATACCCAATATGAATGTGCTCAGAAAAAAACAAAAACTGGCTGAATCCAGAAATGGTAGAATTAATGTTAATGTTCAGTGTGGATACTACAGGAGACACTGTTTAGTGTGTATACTAAATGACATACTATACAGTACGTATATTATGGGCCAAACTGTAAAAATCTATAGTGCAGAACATACTATATAGTATGTATAGTATACGTTGTATATAGTACACAGTGTACAGGTCAGTAATGAAGAACTGCAATATTAGCTGAACAATCATACAACTGAAAATATATATGGAAATTCATTTCCAGATATATACAAGTATAAATGTTTGAGGTGTGATCTTATGATGGAATGACTTGAGTGTAGGCCTATTTATATTATCAACTTAGCAGAAGGTGCCCCGCCTTCCCTACATGCCACATTGATTACTATACGTTGCAGTTAAATGGGTTAAACAACAAAATTGGGCAAAGTTGCATCAGTCCTTCCTTCCATTGGTATGTTCAATGATAACTTCTTACTTTAGCATGTAGTATTTTAATGCTTTTTGTTAAGTTAACATAAAAACAATCTACAATAATAATAATAAACCATCTAGAAAACAAAGTTGTATAAAAGTTTTGCTATACTAACGTAATCTTTAATTTTGCAGATATTAAACCTAGTAACCTTAGCCAGTAAAAATGGCTTTGAAATTTTGTTAAGGAATGCATTGTTTTTCAAAAGCAACGTATGATCTTTTCTTACAGACTAGATAAGTGATTACTACATAGAAATTCATTAAAATCTTACCCAGGTTTTCCATGCTCTGTGTGAGAAGTGCCTCGAAGGTGTGAAGGCTGTAGCTCTCCGCATCCATGCCTTTCGCCAGAGTATTACGCAGGTGCATTTCGTATTCTTGTAACAGCTGACTGGTGGGTGAACTTGGTGCTGCCTCATTGTTTTCAAAGTCGGAATTACCTGTGAAGGAGGTCATATATTACACCCCCTATTCTCTTCGTGTGCCACTCTGTAGAAAGTGCAACGGTTTGGCCTAACCAGAAACATACGAACCCAAGCAACCCACCTATCCTATCGAGGTCAATGCATAGGAAACGTAAATTTTACGGTGCTTTAATTTTTACTAGTACTGTACTGTAGAGTATATCACATATTTAATGTATTTGTTAATTATGATCAAAAATACAACATATTAGGTGGGAGGACAGATAATATATTAATTCTGTACCTCATTATGAGACAAAAAAATTTGTAAGAAAAAACAGATGCATATTTTGGCTTAAGGAGAGTGAAAGCTGAATATTTTACATGTCAATAAAATAGTTAATTTATATCTGCATAAAATTTCTAACTGGAAACATGGTTGCTTATACGGAAGTTAAGGAAGTTTCATTATATAGATGGCACATTCGACTTCTAATCAAAATAGCATAGTTATTATGGTAATGCGTTATGCAGTTAAATAACAACTACAGTTGACCTACCATATTTGCTATTAAATTCTCTCCAAAAAATTACCAAAAATGTGCAAAATGGTAAAAAAAAAAAAAAACTGCTGAAATACTGTATTGAATATCTAGTTTTAGGACATCCACATGCCTGAACCACTCGCACACTTCCAACACGCACCGTCATCACTTTCATCAAGCTGAGATCTAAACAACATATATGGTGACGTGTTTCTCTAATACGTTTAACCTCGACACACAAGGATAGTTTATCCACTGACAAATGAACAGTATTCTACATTAGCTTATGTAAGAATTACCTGCATTAACCTAAAATTTTGTTATAAATAATCATTATTGTTATTATTATAATTATCATTATTGACTTAAAATTACTGATGCGATAAGGCTTAGAATAAGTCATGATAATAATTGCTATGTATAAGAATAAATTGTCAATCTACATTATGATGAATTAAAAACCACTGATAATATTTCTACACCATAAGAAGGAAATCTGGAGAATTGGAATAAAATTGTATATTTACTGTTAAACAACACTTATAAAGTAAATTGGAGTGATTTTGATAAGAATACATTAAAAAATGTTTCATTACGTTTCCTTCATTTATGTCCATAAAGAATAAAGGAAAGACTTCACTTTAAACATATGTCAAAGTATTAAATACATCAATAAAATATAATACAACAATATATAATATATATATATATATATATAAATATATATCAAGTAAATATCGTATCACAAACTTACTTTACTGAGACTGTTTTAAAAGGCCACTCTATCCTTAAAGGCAAAAGCTACATTAAAACACTAATATCATGAAACAATCGAAGATCATGCACTCAACCCGTGTTCACACTATAGTGTTCAAAGATGAAGGCCCTGTTGTACGCATGCACTCAACCCGTGTTCACACTATAATGTTCAAAGACAAAGGCCCTGTTGTATCCATGCACTCAACCCATGTTCACACTATAATGTTCAAAGACGAAGACCCTGTTGTATTCATGCACTCTGCCTATGTTCACACTATAGTGTTCAAAGACGAAGGCCCTATTGTACCCATGCACTCAACACATGTTCACACTATAACGTTCATGTGGAACATTATAAACCTGGTCCGTGTGGTGTACCACATGGGCCACGTCTGGTGCAACACGTGAATCAGGTCTATTTTCTATTGTAAAAAGGAATCTTAATATTTTACCATACTGCTTGCTAGTTAAACTAGCAGAGTAGCTAAGAGGAATGATTATACTTCTCCTTTAGAAGACAATCATCTGTGGCTGTTAAGCCTTGTCAGGAGCTAATTTATGAACTGGGAGCCAAAAAGTGTAGTAAGTTCCACCCTAAACTTAATGATCATATTAGCTTTGAATTTGTGCAATATCTAAACCTTTCTACTAGGAAGTCCTATACTTTTAATGCTTTTGCATTAAAAGTATAGAATGAGCTTTTCCTAAGCTCATTCTACATTACCTCATAATGCTGTCACAGCCTAGTAGGCCTACCTATATTTATTTATTGCAGCAAGCTTAAGACAAATCAGTTAACATTAAATATCTACCCACTTTAAGCACTGCAGTCATTATAGTCATTCAATCATTATTCTTGCAACTAATGAATAGTTTCACACTAAATTTGAAATAATGTTGCAAATAATACAAGCTTATCTGATAGCAGCCATGAGAACGGTAGTGCGGGTATCTGGATGCATACCATAACAAAGTGTACTGAAGCAAACGTTGAGTAAGTAAAGTACAGTACTGCTGCAGCAAGGCAAGTGCTACACAACTCATACTTCTCATTTCTCATCTATCCTATAAAAGCAAATACGGAAATATTTGAAGGTATCGTACTTCTCTATCAATACTGTATATCTATACTACTGCGCTACTTGAATGGCTATCAGAGTTGAGCATACAGGTACTTCAATCGGTACAGAATATTTATAACTAAGTTAAAATGAACTACTGTATGTTAGAAGACTATGAACTGAAGGCTAAAATTAATTATGATCTTTGTTTTATGTGTCTCACTACTGTACTCATCTGCAAACTGTATTGTAATTACTTGTGAATGTACTATATTATCTTAAATGAATTTCTACAATACAAGAAATGAAGGCCATCCTCTAACAATTACAGTATAATACTTACAGCAAATATTTCATCAAAAACATATATGGACTGCTGGACACACAAAAAGTTAATGTTTTTTATTATCAGTTTAGCCCAAATGGTATAGGAAAAAATGGAAATTTAGCTAAAGAACCTAACCTACACTACACACAGAAATCACACTAACGTGATGTATCCAATGAACAAATCTACAAGGGCCATGACGAGGATTTGAACCTGCGTCCGGGAGCATCCCAGACACTGCCTTAATCGACTGAGCTACAACAGGGTTAAAAAGAGTCGAAACCGAAGTTCTACTGAACTTACTGGATCCCGCAGCCTCTCCGAGGCACAAACCAGGATTTTACACAACCTAACCTGCCTAAGGCTGAAATATGCAATGCTAGGCCTAATTTAGCACATACATGTGCTATGTTAGGCCTAGGAAAGTTTAGGTTTGATTTTTTTTTGTGTGTGTGTCTACAAAATTAATAGTACATAATATGAACTTTGGTGGATGCAACAGTTCATTTGTGTACATTTACACAAACAGTTGCTGTAAGCACTGTACTGTATTATCGCTTTTGGAGGATGGGTTGAAGTGAAACTACCGTCCTGTATACCATTACATTTCCATCTGTCTTGTAGTATACAAGGTCCACACAAGAGCCAAAAGCTAGAGCTCAACCCCAAGAGCACCACAACTTGTGTTCATTTTAGTATACTCGTCTGTAGTTATAGGACTACCTGTCGTTCAACTGCCTTTACTGTTTACACTTATAATGATTTCCTTTAAATTCTCTATACTGCTTCAATAAATTTACAACATTTAGAATTTCCCAATCTTTAAACAATCTATCACAATAACAGACAGTTATTAATTTCATAATAGAGCTCTTCTTTCAATTTTATACAGAATAGACTGAAAAAAATGGTAGAATTTGCTTCAATTTTCTGAAATTTAAAAAGTTACAGCTTGATCTTTTTAGGAAAGAGGATACTCCATAAATGCTTCACACTAATGCCATTAACCTCACGTTTAATGCTTGTTTGAATTCTTTCAGACGGTAGGAGCAAAAAAAATATAGATGCAGGCATCATACAGCATATGCTGCGACTAATGCCATTTCTGCCGAATATTACATGTTTGCCTTTTTCATACATTCAGAGCACAGTGGCCAAAACATCAGCCTCAATGATAAGATGACAAGAACATTTTCGTGCTAGCGAGACAGTTGCTACTTGCTTGCAATGAGAATTAAAAATACTGAACACAACAATGAAAGGTTAAACTGGGACAGTTACAAAGACAAAGTGAGTACTTGAGCTGGACACACAAGAAAAGGTAGAATTAGAATTCATCCGTGTGAAAGACAAGGAAAAGTGAACGTAGAAATTTCTATAGTTGTGTGAGATATTTTAATAAACTGGAAACATCCAAGTAGTGCTTCAATATAATTACTGCCAAAAGTAGAGACTAGAGAAGAATAAATTATACTTTAGTCTCTTCTCTAATGTGTAGGTTGACTGAGTATTTGCCCCAGCCACAGTATCGTGACACTTATTCTGCTGCCGAGAGAAAAATAATTATCTTTGGGAAGGAATAAGCATTTCATTTATTCCTCCTATACTGGTGTAGCAATAGATGATCAAATTTCCTGCTTCTGGCTCCACTCTCAAAAAGGGACCATCATGACCTAAAACATTTTGAAAGCAAATGCCTCAGGCTATACTGTACTTTGATTTTATGTGTATTTATTAAAAATTGGATGCAATATCTCTGAAAGTGTTCAAGTGATGTGTGTGTGCATGAATAAATAAGTTATTATATATTACAGTACAAATACTGAGTGAAGTTTTCCAAATGGAGGTCTAATAAATCTCAAATATGGTCCACAACTCTGTTTGATGCCAGACTCACAAAACATTAATCCATCCCTGGTTGATAGTGAACTACAGTGTACTGTAATTATCAGTGGTATTTTTGACTAAACTTTCACAAGCAAATCCAATATTGGTGCATCTAGCATTGATGATTATAATTATGTCATGTCAGAACAAATTCAATTTTTTAAGGTACGCAATCCCTAGAGGTAGACTTTGGTCGCTAACGACATACATGTTATCGAGCTAATATAAATGTGACAGATTTGATTAAATTAATGCTAATAACACAAAATCTAAATATATTACACTACTGTATTTGTTTACAATGTGAACCTAATTTAAAAATAATAAGTGATGCTTACATATGCTGACTGACCCTTTGTCACTAGCAGGCGGTCCACCATCTACTGTTAAGCAGTCACGGATGGTAATTCTACATTATTGAATGCCTAGATATAAGCATGTATCATTCAATACACT